CCATAATGGTCAGGCCGTTAGTGGTTTCAATTTTCAGTAAAATTGGGTAGGTCGGGTCGAGTAGGTAATTGGCCGATAATTACCCGATCCAACTCATGCCCAGCCCCAAAAATTTAAAAACAAATCAAATGCAAAATAAAAAGGGAATTAAGGTTCTAGAACTGGAATTCGGAGCAGGGGTTCTAGAACCATAATATTTTGAAATTACAAAAAAATTGGTTTCTTTTTTGGTCGTTTACAGAAAATTGTTTGGAGAACATGTATTGTAAAATAAGAGAATGTCTTGGAAAGGAAAATGCATTTCAAATTTTTTTGGACGAATTATATATGACACAAAGTAAATATATTTTCTGAAATGTTAAATGTCGTTTCAATTTTACTAATGTCGTTTTGACTTCGAACCTAATTTTGACATATTTCTATTTTGATTTTGGCAAAATTCGAAACACGAAAACTGTAGTCCTTTGGGTTAGCTTTCTAATCCAACTTAAATCCGCTAGATTGAATGTCGTGTGACAAAGTTATGCATGAATGAGTCACATTTTGAATTTTAGATACCTAAATATTGTGGGCAGTATCAATTGATTCATGTATATCGTATCAATTGATTCATGTATATCTTTCTCGTCCGACATCCAATTTTGATGATTCAAGTTGGGTTAGAAAACTAACTCAGAATACTACAAATTATATTTTTCCGGTTTTGCAAAATTTGGAATTAAAAATGATCAAAATCACGTTTGAAGTCGAAAAGGTATTATTAAAGCTCGAACGACATTTATCACATCCCATATATTTTAGTTAACATTTTATTGTGATATGTTATTAATCTACTTTATTTGATTACAATGTTTGCCTTGTTATCAATGGATCGAATAAAAATTACCTTCCTAGAAATAAAAATTAGAAATCACAATGAAAACATAAATCGTAAAAATAAAAAAAAAATAAAAAAAAAAACGGAACTAATTATATATACGCATTAATACATTAAATGATGCACAATTATAAAAAATATCGCATCATAACAAAAATTTACATTATATAGAACTTTGTTTGCTCTAGTTTTCCCAATCACCACGCTTGTCTCTCTAGAAAGGATGTACGAAGAGATTGCTTGTAACACAACTTTGATTGAGGTCCAAATTCTAAAGTATTGATCACGCCTTTATCCACTACATGGAAACCCTGTATGGATTGGATCTCCTTATTTGCCATTAGTATCGTCGGACAAAACGCCATTATGGATTTTGCCGGATTTATTCATGTCCTGAGGCCAAAGCATAAAATGTCAAAA